ATTTTTTTTTTTTTTTTTAATTTTTAAAGAAGGAAATGTTAATTACCCTGATTTGATTACTGCACACTGCATACATGTATTGAATTATCACAGAGTACTCCATAAATTTGTACAATCAAAATAACAAAAACAATAAATGAGCCGGGCAAGGTCATACATGCTTGTAATCCCAGTGGCTTGGGAGGCTGAGACACGAGAATCAAGAGTTCAAAGCCAGCCTCAGCAACTTCGAGGCACTAGGCAACTCAATGAGATCCTGTCTCTAAAGAAAATACAAAATAGGGCTGGGGATGTGGCTCAGTGGTTGAGTGCCCCTGAGTTCAATCCCCAGTACCAAAATAAAAATAAAATATAAATAAATAAATACGGGCTGGGGCTGGGGCTCAGTGGTAGAGCGCTCGACTAGCATGTGTGAGGCCCTGGGTTCAATCCTCAGCACCACATAAATAAATAAAAGAAAGGTACTGTGTCCATTTACAACTAAAACAATATATATTTTAAAAAATGAAAAAAAAACAATGTAAACAATAGCAGTAGTGGTGGGAATTCCTGTTTGCCTCCGATTTTGTTTTTATTTTTGTCTTTGGACAGGCTCTGCTATTTTGCCCAGGTGGGCCCTGAACTTCAGATCCTCCTGCCTCAGCTTCCCACAGGGTTGGGATTACAGGTGTGTGCAAATGTATGTGCAGCTGCTTTTCATGAAAAAAAAAAATTACTTTTTCTTTCTTTCTTCCTCCTTTCTTCCTCCTTTCTTCCCAGTGCTGTGGATGGCATCCAGGGCCTCAGGCCTGCTGGGCAAGAGTTCTGCCACTGAGCCCCACCCCCGGCCCAATGAGAATTTTCAAGGAGGGAAATCGGCATTTGGTAACTGGGTATCCAGGCCGACCCACAGCCCCATCCCACGCCAGGGGTCGCTTACCCATAGGAATGTCCAATGAGCACGTTTCGCTTCTTTGCATAGCGCTTGAAGATGGCTCGCATGTCCTCAGCCAGTGCATAGAAGGTGTAGGCTGCAGCTACCTGAGGCGCAGAGCTGGCCCCGTGGCCAGCCAGGTCAGGTGCCACCACCTCATAGCCTAGCCGCACAAAGAAGTCCAGTTGCTCCTTCCAGATGGCCAGGGAGCCACCGACACCATGGATGAAAAACAGTACCACGTCCGCCTGGGCGCCCTTGCAGCTAGTGATGCGCTTCTCACAGTCAATGTGGATGGTCCTCTTCGGGCGTCTGGCTCGCCGCCTCCGCCCGCCGCTGCCACTACCCGCGCTGCCTGGGTTCGAGCGGCCATCGCTGCCTGCCGGATCGGCCAGCTCTACCTCCAGGGCGGCCGGTGGCTCCCCAGAGCCATTCTGCCCATGCAGGAGGTCAGCTCTCGGCGCCCGGCCCAGGTTCTCCACCAGCAAGCGCCCGCTGCGGTACACAGTGATCCGGCGCTGGCAGCGGACCAAGCCGGACCTGTCCCCCTGGGCAGCATCCAGAGGCGGTGGTGGAGGTGGAGTGGGAGCAAGGGCGGGTCCAGCGTGCTTCACCCGCAGCACACGGCCAGGTTTGACCTCCACAAAGGTGTAGCCATCGCTGGACTCGACGCTTTCCAGGGGCCCCACAGCGTTAGGGGGCGTGCCCAGTAGGCAGCAGAAGAAACCGTCGGTCACCCCGGTCAGCATGGTGTGTCCTGTGAGCGGGAGCCAGATCAGGGGCCATCTAAGGGGGAGCCCTCCTACCCCAGGTAAACCAGACTGGGAGTCCCCTTCTAAGGTCCCTTGTGAGGGCAGGGTCACAAGCCGGCCTGCGTGGTGGTTGGCTAACTTCCAGGGCCTGGCTAGTGGTTCATCCCTGGGGAGTCCATAGGGAAGGCGCTGAAGTCTGGTGTGGGGACTTCCCAGAGAAGGGGACATTGTGGTAAATGTGGCCCAGCCCTGAGGACACCCCTACTACCACCACCTCCAGTTTATACCAGTGAGGGCCCTAAAGCCATTCATTCATTTATGCACATGTACTTTATATTAGCTCACATATCCTGAGGGCTCCTGGGATAGTTTATTATTATTATTTTTTAAATAGATATATTTAGTTGTTGATGGATCTTTATTTATTGGCTTATTTATATGTGGTGCTGGGAATCGAACACAGTGGCTCACAGGTACAAGGCAAGCACTCTACCGCTGAGCTACAATTCCAGCCCCATCCTGGGGTATTTTAAAGGGTGCAAATCCCCAGGGAGGCCACCTCCCAGGTCTCTGGCTCTGAATCTGACCACCAAAAGATGAGGCCCTCAGAAAGGGGACTGTGGACTGAGCCCCAGAAGCCCTTAGCTCTCCAAGACAGGGCTGAGTTGGGCCTGTCTCAAAGAGCAGCAAGCTGAGGGCCATACACACTGGGAGGACACTGCTCTGTACCCCCTGCTTAGTACCCTGGGATGGGGACGGGAGCATCACACAAGTCCCCAGGGGTGGTGATGAGGATGGGACCTAGTTGGGGGCCTCCAGCCCTCCATCCAGCTCCCAAGGCCACCTCCCCCCACCCCGTGTCCATAGCAACCACAGGCGGTTACATAACTCAAGGGGATACCCGCGCAGCGCACCCCCATTGTCTAAGGCCTGGAGATGGAACCAGCCCACTCTCTCTCCCCAGCCCGGGGGCCGCCGGGGTAACACACGCTGAAGATGGGCCCGCGACGGCCCGGGATCTACTGGAAGGGAGGCAGGCAGCGCTCTCTGCCTCGAAGGGGGCCCTGAACCCGATTAAGGAAGGCGGCTCAAATGCGCCGCACCAGCCCCCCTTCCCAGAGCCGGGCCCGGTCTCCGGGGTGCCCGTCATCCCTGTGGCGAGGTCGAGGCCACCGGGGCTCCGTGGCTTCCTAGGAGCCCGAACGCGGGCTTTGTGGACACCCCCTTAGGAAGTGGAGGCCCCCCGAAACCTCGATGACCCCCTCAGGCGTCCGCTCCCAGCTCACCTCATCGAGGGCTCCGGGGCGGGGCGGAGGGGTCCCGGGCAGAGAAGCCAGCGTCCGCCTGCGGGTGTCGTTTACATGGTGGCGCGGGGTCGGCCCGGCGCGTCTACGCCGGCGAGCGCGGGCCTGGGGCGGTCAGCGCAGGGGCATCCCGCGACCGCCCACCAAGCCGGCCATTTAAGCCCCTCCCCCAAGAGGGCGGGGCCTTCAGCAGACGGGCGGGAACTTCGCCCTATCGTAACTGCGAACTGACCTGGCCTAGATAGACGTCCAATCAGAGACTAAAATTCTGAGATGGGGCGGGCTCTGGGTCAACGGCCCCGCCCCTTTTAGGGGCTCTCGGAGGTCGTGCAAGGGATTGGCCCTAGCCCGGGAGGGAGAAGGGGCTAGAGCCTCAAGTCTGCGGGACTCCTGGGACTAGGCAGTCGAAGTCCTTTCTCAGAGAAGGGGTCTCTCCAGCCAGCTCCTGCCTCCGACTTGCCCTGTCCCCTCCAGAAGGAGCTCCCATGTCCCTCTCTGTGTTGACCTTTCTATTCTAGAAACAGAGACTCCCTGATCTTTGCAATTTCGTGTGGGGAGACTGAGGCTCACGAAGAACACACGTCAGGAGGAAAGCCAGGTTGGGATTTGAACCCAAGCCTGTGTGATTCCAAATCCTGGGAACTGTTAAAAACAGAAAATTTGGAGTCTTGAGTAATTAAGGAATTGGAATTTCACTATCAGCCAATTTAACCAATGACTGCAGATGGAACTGAGAAGGGACTGGTGGCAAGAGATAGACACCCCAGTTCCATGGTCAAGGCTGAGGCAAGATAGTCCACCAGGAGAGCCCGGATTCAGAGAACCCAGGGCTCAGGTTTAGCCTCTGCCCTTTGCTGATGTGTGACCTTGGACAAGTCATTTCCCTGAGCTTTCATTCACCTCTATATGATATTATTCTCATGAGTTTGCTATGCAGGTAAATGATTCATCATGTGCTTTGCATGTGGAGTAAGTGCTCAATACATTCTTGGCATTATTATTATAGTGGTGGTGATTTGTTAAATGGGCTTCAGAGGACAAGGGGTTAATTGCTTCTTCCTGCTTGCCAGTCCTCACCCCCTGGAATCTGCTGTCAGAGAGCTGAATTAGATGCAGCCACCCACGCTTGCCCACTCAGGACTCTCCTGGGAGGCTACACAGTTTATTCATTCAGCAAATGGTTCCCACAGTGTGTCGTGTCCCACCCACTGTCCCAAGCTGGGAGACTCTGTCTCAGGTCTGCTCAAGCCTGGCTCCTGAGAGGCCCCAGAGCTACCGGAGAGCCCTACTGGATCAGGGTTAGGCCACAGAGAAGGGACAGGGTTAGAAGAATTTTTTTTCCAATAAGACATCTATGTTTCATCCCTCCCCCCATACCAAGGATTGAACTCAGGGGCACTCAACCGCTGAGCCACATCCCCAGCCCTTTTTTGTATTTTATTTAGAGACAGGGTCTCACTGAGTTGCTTAGTGCCTTGCTAAATTGCTGAGGCTGGCTTTGAACTCGAAATCCTCCTGCCTCAGCCTCCCCAGCCACTGTGATTATAGGATTACAGCTGTTTACCACTGCACCCGGCCCTTTTGTGTGTGTGTTTGTGTGTGTGTGTGTGTGTGTGTGTGTGTGTGTACTGGGGATTGAACCAGTATCAAAACTGAGCCGCATCCCCAGCCTTTTTATATTTAACTTATATTTTATTTAGAGACAGGGTCTCACTAAGTTGCTGAGACTGGCTTTGAACTTGCAATCCTTCTGACTCAGCTTCCAGAGCCACTGGCCTCCACAGTTTTTATTGGTGCATCGTAGTTGTACGTAATGATGGAACTTGTTGTTACATATTCCTACATGTACACAATGTAACTATAATTTGACCAATATCACTCCCCAGCGGTTTCCCTCTCCCTTGCTGTCTCTCACCTCTTGGCCCCTTTCCTCTACTGATCTAGAAGAGGAATTTTAAAGGGTGGACAGGGACCAGGTAGAGAGGAAGGTGTGGCTGCGATTTAGGCTGTGTGCGGAGAAGGTTTTGCGTGCTGAAGGGCCATGATATTTTCCCTGGGACAATGGAGAGCGAAGGAGGGTGTGTGAGCATGTGAAGGATTCAGATCTGGGTCTCGGAAAAATCCCTCTAAGGCAAGCCAAGGACAAGCTTGCAGCCCATGCGTTTTACTGAAAAGCTGAAACCTGGAGAGGAGCAGGGACTACCTCAAGGACACCCAGCCAGCTCGAATTCAGGCTCCTGGGCTCCCTTCCAAGAGGCGGGGACTTGGCTGTGGTCAGAGAAAAGCTGTCAGCCAGCTGTGTGCCATCTGCCTGGCCCTTGCTGGGAATGAAAAGACCAACCATCAGCTTCCAGCAGCTGCCACCAGCTGCGCCACAGTCACCCTGGGGCACCCTCTGCCGGTAGACAGAGGAAACTACAATTCCCAGCGGACCTTGGGACATGCCTTGTACGCACGCGCAGGTTGAGGAGTCGTCCTTCTGCCACCTGCTGGTGGATCGGAAGACTAAGCTCCCGGTAGGCACTACTTTGGTGCGCAGGCGTGGAACTGCAGGTCCAGGTGCCGACCGCAGCTGTGCAAAGTTGAGTGTAGGAGAAACTACATTTCCCATAAGTCTCCTTTCCCACCCCTTAGCCGCGTAGTTGTGGGCTCCGGAATCTTTGGCGGCTGGGACAGCGTGACCCGAATCTGGACATGGCTTTCTCCGCCGGATCCCTATTGGGCCCCGCAGGCAAGTCGGCGGCGCAGCTAGGTGGCAGGTGAGTCCTCAAGGGACACGTCTTCAAATCTGGGAATAAGGGCGGCCTCCGGGGCTGGCTCCAGAAGTTCATCGTCTCCAAGACTCGACAACGCTTTGCGCACTCAGAATGCGCCTTTTCCAACTAGCGTCTGTCCCCGTACAGATCTGGAAGTCAAGGCTCAGAGAGGTTGTACGGTGCGCTGAGATCGCACAGCGCCTCCGCTGACCTTCCTTACAGCTTCTCTTGCCTCTACAGGTTGTTACAGCCCAGGATATGGTTGGGGTTCCCAGACTCCTGGGGCCTCCCTGTCTTGCAGCAGGCCCGTGGCAAGGCGCGCGGAAACGAGTATCAGCCGAGTAACATCAAACGCAAGCACAAGCACGGGTGGATCCGGCGCCTGAGCACGCCGGCCGGCGTTCAGGTCATCCTCCGTCGCATGCTCAAGGGCCGCAAGTCTCTGAGCCACTGAGGATCGTGACGCTGCTGGCAGGACTCCGGTTAAAGCATTTCCCTTGCCTAGGACCTCACCTCGCGCCTTTGCGGGGAGCTGGGGAGCAGAGAAGACTTGGGCATAAATGCTCCCCAAATCGTGGGGTTGGCTTAGGGGAAGAAGTTGGGTGGGACTGAAAGTGGGGGAGTGGTAGTCAGCTTGGCCAAGTCTCTTTTTATGCTTTTAAAATACGAAGAATTTCGAACATTTGGTACAGTACACAGAACAGTATAAGAACAGCTGTGTCCCTAGTACAAAGCTCGGTCCGCCAGCCATCCACAACCGTCCTGCCCCCTCCTGTGTTACTTTGAAGCAGATCTCAGGCATCAGGTTATTCTGGGGATATTTCAGAATGTATCTCTCCAGGATAAGGGCTCTTTAAAATATAATTATAAAACTATAACCCTCCAGATTACCAGTAATTTGTAAATGTCAATAAATGTTAATTCCAAATTCCCTCTTGTTCTACTTGTCATAACTTACAATCTGGGAAGGCTGGTGAGAAGGAGAGGCGTTTCACATCCTCTACCTGCCCCTTGCGGATGGGCTGTGAGACCCTGGGTGAGGCTTTAGTCCTCAGGCTCCTTTGCTCTGTTGTTGTTGGAATAATAATACTTAATAGCGTCCACGTAGCAAACTTATTGAGCACTTTCTATATACTGGGTGCCCATTCCTTATTCAGTAGGGGCAATCTGTCTCGTGGGGAAAGTGAATTTACACCTAGGCAGGAGGATCAGGGCTGAGAGGGGGATTGTGAAGGCTATAGGAACCCAGAGCGGGCACCTGACTTGACTGACATTGGGAAAAATCAGTCAAGGAAGAACTATCAGGAGGGATTGGGTAGGGGTCACGCCACGGGGCAGGTGAGGGAAGCCAGAGGGGTCCAGAATTTGGGACACTAGGGAACCACATGAGGCATTAAAGCAAGAAAGTCTAGGTTGTCAATTAAAAAATAATTAAAGCAGCTAATGCGGGAGTCGTCTACGAAACCCAAGGTTGAAACCACGGGGAGGAGGCTGAGAATGTTTTGGTTCTCACCTTGCGGGACCGTCGTGAGACCTCAAGGGACACTGTATGAAAAAGCGCAATATATCCGACGTGCGAAACCGAGAGTTGTGAACTACAACTCCCAAGAGGCTTCGCGGGTGCGGCATCCGCCTATTTCCGGATCTCATTTTCTACGCTTCCAAGTCCCGGGCGAGGTTTTGCTTCCTCGACCGAACTTGACTATGAAGGGAGGAGGCGTGGCAACCAATGGGCATGTGAGTTAGCCGAATCTGACCAATGGGAGCGCACGCAAGGGCTATATCTTGGGGGCGGGGCCACGGGACCGACCAATGACGGGGCTTAGTGGCGCCATCAGTGTACGCTGTGCCGTGGCTGGAAGTTGCTGTGCGGCGGCTGCTAAGAAGGCGGCTGTGGCGGTGGCGGCGGCGGCGGTGGCGGCGGCGGTGGCGGCTGAGGCGGCTGAGGTGGCGACGGAGGAAACAAGATGGTGAGGACTGCCGCCGGGCCCGTACTTCCCTTACCCTCAACAAAATGGTGCCGCGGGACCACCCACTTCTCTATCCCCCTAAGGCCTCTCATCACTCAGCCCGGCCCCCTCAGCCCCGCCCCACTCTCCGCGCTGACCTGTGACCTTCGACCCCTCAGACCCTTCCTTGAGCTTTCTTTTGACCCCGCTCCAGCTCCTTCCCCGACCCCTGACCCTGTGTAGGCTTCCAGGCCCTGACAACTCATTCATTTCCGGGTCGCGGCTCCCCCCGGAAATCGCTTGAAATGGGGTGGGGTCTCCTGAGACCCCAGCTCCGGCCTCTTCCTCGGCTCAGCGGGCCTGGGCTTCTCTGATTTAGGAGGGTTTGGAAGGCCGGTACGGGCGTCGGGGCGGGGGAGGGGGCTTGACACCGCAGACTTTGCAGGGCTTTGTCGCCAAAGGAAGTGCGACACTCGCCGATTGCCTGGATTCCCCGGGGCCCTAACCCCTCCCCCACCAATCTGGGCCTCCTCTTGTCCCCAAGAGACAGCAATTCCGTCTCTCCCATCCTCCGAGCCTCTGCCTGTTAAATGAGGATGTTGGTAGTCCAGACTTCATAGGATTGTGGTAGTTTAGGGAATTGACGTGATAAAGTGCTTAGGACAGGGAACATTCAACAGATGAGCTGGGTGACTTGGGGCTGGTGACATCCTCTCCTAACTCTCCTTTCATCTTGAAGTGGGGGTAATCCTAACTGGCTGTTGGGAGGTTAATATTCCCTCTCCCACTCCCACATCCTGGGGTGTGGGGCTGGTGGTTTTTGGGGTTTGATCTGTAAATTGGGATGGTGACCCCCACCTCAGAGTTGTTGGACTGAAGTCCCTCCGCTCCCTTGGCGTCCTCACAACTGGCAGGGGCAGTGGAAGATTTGATCAAGCTGAGTTAGGGCCCCATTGCCCCTGAGGGAGAATCCCAGCCCACAGCTGTCGGCCTTTGGGAAGCAGTAGAGGAGGGCAGAGGAAGCGCCCCAGGGAGGAAGGTAGGGCCCACTGTGTGGGTCCCCAAGTCTGGGTGTTATCATTGATTTGTTACTGCAGTGTGTCCCCAACCTGGTCATAAGAGGATTCTGTTGGCTCTGCCTCCAGAACACAACCTGTATCCATCTGTGGCCTGTCCAGGTACTGCCACCTCTGGCCTGGATGCCTGCCCCAGCCCCCTCCCTAGTCTCCTTGCCTCTCTCCCATCCACTTGGTTGTTTTTAATTTACCAGGACCTTGAAATTTTTAAAGATGTAAGTCAGATTGTATCACTTTCTAAATTATGAAATGCTCCTGTTGTAACCCTGTTGGTTGTGACCCAGCTCCTGCCCTCCACCTTCAAGGTCTCTGCCCACCTCTGTGACCTCATCTCCACCCTCTTCACCCCTTCCCTCTGCCAGCTTCATCCACACAGGCCTTGTTTGAGCTTCCCATGCTCTGAGTTCCACACCCCCAGGGCCTTTGCACCTGCTGATTCTGCCTGTAGTACTTTCCCTACTGTGAGCATCTCTTCTTCAGATCCCCTCCTGATATCTGGAGGCACCATCTTTTCTCCTCTTGCTTTGTTGGCTCATTAGTGGGCTGTCCACAAGGAGACAGGACTACAGGTGTTTGGTAAATGTTTATTGAGGTAATGGGTGACTTCAGGGCTTCTGGCTGCAGGGTGGACTTCTCCCCTGTCTTCAGACCTTGTTTTCCAGCTTAGCTGAAGGAAGTAGGTCCCCTCCCCATCTTCATTCAGTTATTCAGCACGAGTGAGCCGGTGTCAGCAGCTGCCTGGAGGGAGCACTGTGCAGAGGCTGCATCAGTGTTGTCTTATTGAGACTCTGAATCAACTTGGGAAGTGGCCCTGTGTGCAGTGCCCCGTTCTGTAGGGGAGGTGTGAAGCTGTGAGGTTGTTTGCCCCAAGTCACACAGCCAAGGAGGTGCTGAGCAGGATTGAGGGGAGGATTTGGGTTCTGTGCTTGTCAGCCTTGTCCCCTGTGAGCCCTGCCCGCTGTGAGCCCTGCAGGGACCTCAGGTTGAGGTAGCCCTGCCCTGCCCAGTGCCCTCAGCCAGGGAAGTGGATGTGTTGGGCGATCCTACTGGGGTGGAAGCAGGTCTCTGGGAGAGGCTCCCTAGGTGTGGGGACAGCATCAGGGTAGGAGAGGTTAGAGCTGATGGGGGAGGGCAGCAGTGTGGATGGAGAGGCCCTCCTGAGGGGTGGTGGATGGTGTGCAGTGGGAAGATAAAGAGGGCCCAGTGGGCCAGGGCTGTGGAGAGTCTCAAGCAGAGCATGGACAGGGTCCCTTCCTATATCAATACCTCTGGACAGTCCACTCCAGTCCCCCAGATGAACCAAGCCTCTGTGCATCCTCCCCCATCCTATGTTTACACAGTGCCCTGAAGGCACCCTTACCTCCACTTTCCACTCACTGTGATTTTGTGATCCTTGTGTCCCCTATGCAGTAGGACCTCCCTAAGACCAGGAACAGGGCTTCAAGGCTCACCCCAGTGTCTTGGTGCCCCAACTTGGGGTCTGCCATATAGTGAGGGCTAAGAAGACCTTGCTGGCTTGGTGCAGTGGCTTGGGAGGCTGAGGCAGGAGGATTATAAGTTAAAAGCCAGCCTCAGCAATTTAGCAAGATCCTGCTTCCAAATAAAATATAAAAAGGGTCGGGATATGGCTCAGGGGTACAGTGCCCCTGGGTTTAATCCCTGGTACTAAAAAAGAAAAGGAAACCTTGCCACCTGTATGACTCTGGCTCCTTAGTCTGAGAATAAGCTGGAGCAAGGGGCCGAGGATGGGTCGAGGCAGGTTTGAGGGACTGTGAGTTGTCCCTGGGAGCAGCTGTGAATGCTGTCATAGGCTGAGGGGGACACCTGACAGCCTCCTGGGTTGGCCCATGCTGCTTACATCTCACTGGGACCAGCAGAGGAGGGGCTGGCCTGTGGGACACTAGTCCTCTTGTCTGCTGCAGAGGATGATGCGAAGTCACTTAAATGGCTACTTCCTCCAGGGGCTACTTCCTCCAGGGCAGATCTCTGGGGCTTCAAGAGTGGGGCTGGACCCTGAGGGTACCAGGTCCTGCAGCCCTGGAGTCTGCCGGATCTCAAGCCATTGGGTTATCAGACCTGTCATGTAATGGCAGGGGCATGGCCTGTGAGACTGGGCACACCTAAGACTAGGTGACCTCAGATGAGTCACACCAGTGACCTCCTTACCTCAGTCTCCTGTCTTGAGGATGGGGAGCTGCCACCACCTGCTTGGCTGGGTCACACCTGTGAGTGCTGTTGGGGATATGACATTTGGGAAGACCCTGGCCCAGGGCAGGATGTGTGGGGAATCCACACCAGATGTACCCCTTGCCAACTGTCCCACCTCAGGCTTGACCAACAGGGACTTTGGGAAAGTGAATGGACTTAGCCACACAGGCCTAAAACCTTGGGTGGCCCAGCCGTATCCCCCAGGCAGCTGTGGGAGGACGGTCTGCACCCTGTGAGGCTGAGGCCCTCCTGGTGAAGGGCTCAGGCTCCTCCAGAGGGAGGCAGGCATTTTCCCCCTAGGACTAGCTCTGCAGGCTGATGATCAGCCTCAGGGTGGGGACTCCAGAAGAGTCCCTGAGCTGACCATCACACACCTACTTAGCTCAGTCCACATGGGGCTTCTTTTTTCCTTTTTCTTTTTGTGTGTGAATGGATTTTTTTTTTTCCTTTTTGTGATATTGTGGATTGAATTCAGGGATGCTTTGTTACTTAGCTACATTCCCGACCTTTTTTATTTTTTATTTTGAGACAGAGTCTTGCTAAGTTGCCCAGGCCAGCCTTGAACTTGCACTCCTCCTGCCTCAGCTTCTGAGTCCCTGGGATTGTAGGCATGTGCCACTATGCCCAGCCCACATGGAACTTTCTAGAAAGTGGAGCCAGCTTTAAAATCTGGATAAGGACTGACTGGTGTGTGACTCGGTGGTAGAGCACTTGCTGAGCACACAAGAGGCCCCGGACTCCATCCCCAGCACCACAAAAAAAAAAAAAAAAAAAAAAAAAAAAAAAGGAAAGGAAAGAAAAAGAAAGGAAGAAAACCAAAATAAAATAAACCTAGATGTTTGGGGCCAGAGTGCAGCTCAGTAGCAGAGTGTTTGTCTCGCATGTGTGAAGCTCTGGGTTTCATCCCCAGCACTGAAGAAGAAGAAAAAAGAAAAAAGAGATAACACATATACAAACTTGGATTTTTAGGATGTTGGAAATGTGGCAGCCCTGGACTCCCATTCCTGAGTAATTGCAGCCCCTTCTCCCAGTCTCTGTTCCCACCCCCCATCTGTTGTCACACTGACCCCTGGGGTTTCTTGAGATCAGCAGATGTTCCTCTGTCCTCCGTCTCTGCCCATGGCGGGTCGTGGAAACAGGGCCTGGAGGCTCAGCATCCAGAAGTTTAATACGCTACTAAGCACAGTGCCGCCCAGGCGGGCCATAGCCATCTCCTCGGCGGGGGTGTTTGGGGCCTGGGTTTGACTCCTCTGTTGCTCACACAGTGCGACTTTAAACTAGCGGCCTGTTCTTTCCCAGCCTCAGTCTCCCGCCTTTTGCCTGGGTGTGGGGCTGTTGTGAGGGCCTCCTGGGAAAGCACACACTGACCTTTGGTAGGTAGCTTGGGGGTGCACTCTGCAAACCCTGAGAAGCAAAGAAAAGTAGAAAGAAAAGACCAGAAGTCACCGGAAGCCCTTCTCAGACGCGTAGTAAGGGACCTTGCAGACTTCTCCACTGTTACTGATTCTCACTCTCTATCTTCTGTTTGTTTTCTAGGCAGATTTTTTGAAAGGATTACCTGTCTACAACAAAAGCAATTTTAGTCGATTTCATGCCGACTCCGTGTGCAAAGCTTCGGTGAGTGTGTGTTCTGGGGGCTGGAGTCCTTAGGGTCTGGGGGTAGCATGTGTCCCTAGTAGTGGTCTTGGTGGGGACAGGCTGATCTTTAAGGCCAGTTCCACCCCATATTCTTTATTTTTCTTTAAATATTTTTTTAGACATTGATGGACCTTTATTTTATTCATTTTACTTATATGTGGTGCTGAGCATCGAACCCAGTGCCTCTCATGTGCTAGGCAAGCGCTCTACCTCTGAGCCCCAACCCCAGCCCTCCACCCCATATTCTTTTTTTTTTTTAATCTTTATTTTATTTACTTACTTTTATGTGGTGCTGAGGATTGAACCCAGGGCCTCACACAGGCGAGGCAGGCAATCTACCACTGAGCCATAACCCCAGCCCAACACCCCATATTCTTGAGTGTCTTTCCCTCTTTTTTCAAGGGTAGGTGCTGAGTTGGGGCTGGGGAGGGAGCAGGGACCCCAGGCCCATGTGCTCCTAACCTACCTTTTCCTAACCATCCTGCAGAATCGACGTCCCTCCGTCTACCTGCCTACTCGGGAGTACCCATCAGAACAGAGTAAGTAGCATCTGCTGGTGTGTCCTGTCCTGGCTCCTGGGGGTGGTTCAGAGGCCCAGCCCAGACCAAAGAGCAGGGCAGGGGGCAGGGAGCAGGGAGCAAAGAATAGGGAGCAGGGAGCAAAGAAACCGGGGAGCAGGGGCAGGCGGCAGGGCACAGAGGTGGCTTGCAGTCCAGTTCCCAGTCAGGGTCATGTGGGGAAGGGCCCTAAAGAAAGACCAGGAGGCGGTCTGGGGACTCCGGGCTGGAGGTGTGCTCATGGCTGTCTGCTCACTCCTGACCTCGGGAGCTGCAGGAGACCTGCTTTTTCTGGGTGCCTCCTGATCTCCACACACTGGCATCCAGGGCTCCTGAGGCTCTGAACTGACCCCGTCTTCCTGGCATGGCCCTTCCCCTTGGGTCAGGCCTGGTGTCCCCTTCTGCCTCCACATCAGGGATTTGGTGAGAATGCAGACTCCAAGACAATACTGTGAGACAGGTGATAGCAAAGAGCACTTGGGGCTGGGGAGGGGACCTGGCAGATGGCTCTGCACAGTGGGAGGATGTGGTGGTGCTGTTGTATCTTTATTTTAACTGTTAAAAAGGCACCCGTCTACCTGGACCCTGCAGGGTACAGGTGACTTGTGGTCACCAGATACAACTATGTAGGTTGTATTATGGTCCACCTGGGAGAAAGCAGGGATGCGAGCCTGTCCCCCACCCCAGGACGGAACCCTGCATAAGGCAGCAGGGACCCTGAGGGAGCAGTCAGCTCAGGCCCCTGGTGGTGGCTGTGTGCTCAGAAGTGAAACCACTGGGCTTTCTGAGGTCACCTCCTAAATTATGGGTGCTGACTTTGAGCCCCAGAAAGACCACCAAGGGCCGAATAGGCTAGGAGGTCAGGGAGGGGTAAAGAGCACCCATCTAAGGTCAGGATGCCTCTGCATCTTCTGCCACCATTTCTGTCTTTCTTTTCAGTCATTGTGACAGAAAAGACAAACATCCTTCTGCGCTACCTACATCAGCAATGGGACAAAAAGGTAAAGGATGAGGGGTTCAGGTGCTGGGAGTGGGGTGGGGCAGACATGCCTCCTAGCAGGGCCTCTTGAGTGAGGGAGTGAGTGGGTGTTTGGGGGCCTTGAGGGTCCAGTAGGATTTTTCCGGGTGGTCGAGGAGAGGGGGAGCCGGTCAGTGGCGGGAACAGCTGTGCGGTGGCCCAGGTTCTGGCGTTGGAAGGCGGGCCGCCGAGGTTAGACTTTCCAGGTGGGCCCTAGAATGTTTTGTTTGTTCTCACATGTGCCTGGCAAGTGCTCTACCACTGAGCCACACCCCCTCGGCCATCTGTCACTGAGCTACAGCCCTAGTTTGTTCCCCCCCCCCATTACTCTTACTGAGAAAGAGTCTCACCAAGTTGCCCTGGCTGGCTTTGAACTTGCCATCCTCTTCCATTGCTGGGATCACAGGCATGTGCCACCGTGCCTTAGAATGTTTTTGTTTTGTTTTGTTTTTGGCACTGGGGATTGAATTTGGGGTACTTAACCACTAAGCCACATCTCCAGCCTTTTTATATATTGAGACAGAGCCTTGCCAAGTTGCCGAGGCTGGCTCTGAAGAGGCTAGTGATCCTCCTGCCTCAGCCTCCCGAGTTGCTGGAATTATAGGCATAAGACACCACATCTGGCTGTAGAATCTTTTTTTTTTTTAATGGTGAAATTTACACAAGATTAAAACTCCAGGCAACGTAAGAGGGGATAAATGTGGAAAGAGTTGTCTCCCAGCTGGGACAGTGATGCGCACTTGTGAATAAAAGTCACTTCCCTCAACTTCTGGCATCCTGACCTCTTCCCAGAAGCCACTTTTTGTACATTTGGGACTCTCTTTCTTTGATAGAAATTTCCACATATTATTCAGTAATATGGTTTTTCACTTAATATTGAATATCAGACTGAGGTTGGACGGGACTCCAAGTGAGCTCTCTGAAAATCCAGGGTGCCCGACCCACTGCTTCCATCCCCCTCCCCAGCTGCACAGGCTTTGAGTGCCACCAACCAGGAAGGACACGACCTAAACCATCTGCTGTCCTCTTTTCTGGGGATGCAGGGCCCCCCTGTGGCTCCCAGGTGCCCTTTTGCCCTTGGCTCCGTGGGTGCTCCTCTGAGTGTTTGAGAAACAGGATGTGGGGGGTCATGGGAAAGGTCGTGGTGGCTCTCCCCACGAGGTACCCAGGAAATCCCTGCCTGTCACCTGCCATGGGTCCCAGAGGACACTCAGGACAGGGCTTAGTGGGGCAGGTCCCAGTGGCAGGAAGTGCTGCCCAGCCCGGGGCCCCGAGTCACATTTCCCTGCTCCAGGGCTGGCTTCTGACACCACTGATGGGCCAGGGCTGGCACTGGGGTGCAGGAGCTCACAGCCTGTCCTTCCCTTGCCCCAGAATGCCGCCAAGAAGAGAGAGCAGGAGCAGGTGGAGCTGGAGGGCGAGAGCTCGGCACCGCCCCGCAAGGTGGCGCGGACCGACAGCCCCGACATGCACGAGGACACTTAAGACTCACGATCCCCCACAGGCGCCTCCTGTTGTGTCTGCTCCTTGGTCGCCCGCCCACCGTGTGTAAGCGCCCTGCCCGCCCGCCTTCCCCGCCGGCCACCCACACCCCGCCGTCCACACCACTTCCAACCTCATAGGAGCTGATGTATTTATTTTCCTTGAGTTTTTATTTATGCTGTAACATGTATCAAGCGTTGGTTAAAGGGGACGTCAGACCCAGTAGTGTGATGTCGATAGATGCTTTTTAAAAAACATTGTTTTTCACCCTTCCCCTGTCCAGGTCCCCCGTCCTGAGAAACTGTCTCTCTAGGGTGTAGAGCCAGGGGGTTCTGTGGCTGGGTGGCAGGGATGGGGGTCAGGGCCCTAGGCCTGGCTCTCCCGGACAGCTGAGCAGCCTTCTCCCTCCCTGCTGACCAGTCCAGGCCTCCGAGACTCACCTGGTCTCCACTGCCACGGGAGGTAGCCATGCCCAGACCTCCCTGTGAGCAGGCGGGCAGGGGAGAAGTCGCCCTACTGGATCTTCCTCTTAAGTCATTTTATCATGGACTAGAGCGCTCCGTGTCCTCCCCAATAAAAGGATCTTTCCTACTCGACCTCGAGTCTTTGCTCCACACTCCTCGCCCCTGGAGGACGGAGCCCGAGAGTCATCCTGTCATCACCAAGAGGAGAAGAGGGGCCCCTTGTGCTGGGGCCCCAGGGACCAGCCATATCCTCTCGTGAGCCTGCTGCAGCTGCCATGCTCAAGGCCAAGACCCACTCGGACCAACCCCTCTGCCTCACCTGTCAAGGTGTCCTCGAGGACCAGGTCATCTCTGAGAGACAATCTATGGTGCCAAAAGTGGAGCTGGGGTCAGCTCACATCCAGGACTCTACCATGCAGGGCCCCATGCCCACCGTCCACTGTGGAGATGGCTCAGTCTTGCTTGGGGGCCTGGGCTCTGAGGGCCTCTGGTGACATCAGAATGACATTTAGCAGGTGTTGCCAACCCAGGTAGCCTGGCCTCATGGGACCCCAAGTCAGATAGGAGTTCTAGTCAGTGTGTTTCCTGGCCTCTCCAGGGGGTCCCTTCACCAGCTGGGCTGGGATTGGGACTGAGCTTGGAACGTAGAGGGTGGTTTGGGCTCTGGGTAGAAGTTCGCCTCCCTGAGCATTTGGCCTGGGCATCTGCTCCTTCTACCCCCGCTGCCCTGTAAGGGGGGCGTGACTCAGTGCTGAGTATTCCGGGGAGTTGGGGGTGGGGTAGGCCCTGGATCTGAGGGGGTGGTTGGGGAAGGTGTGCCTGCCCCCAGCAGTTACCCTGGGGCCTTGCCTGGCTGCCCAACTCTCTTGGGGCAGATGGTGCTGGGTTGGCACAAGTGACTGAACCAGGCCAGCACAGCAACCCAGCTGTGCTTCGAGGCCCAGACACCTTGACCCCAGCTCTCAGCTTGGTGTCTGTACCAAGGCAGATGCATACTGTAAGGTCCCTGCAGGCACTGGGCAGCCAGTCAGGAACAGAAGCTTGACCTTGGCCTTGCGGGTCAAGGCAAGGGGAGTGGCAAGTCCCCCCCCCCGCCCCGCCCCCCCCCCACCCCCCCGGACTTCCAGACCAGTTGGGAATCCCCAGTCCCAGGGGTGGTTCTGACCTGGCAGATTTATGGTGTTACTTGGTCAGTGGTTAAAATGGCAGGACTTCAAAGACCAGGAGACAGCATGGCACCAGGCAGCACCCCCCCCCCCCCAAGGCTCTGAGTCCCCTTTTGAGCTGGGCCTGTCTCCTACACCGACTGATTCCTGGGGCGCTTCCTCCCAGTGCCCTGCCCGCCCCGGCCCACCTGTGGCCTCCCTAGGAGGGAGCAGCCTGTGCACGGCTCCTGCTGCCTCAGGAGGAGCCCAGGCCTGAGCCAGCCACTGCTCCCCACCCCTGCCTTTGGGACTCCCCTTGCCCTGATGTCCCCAAGTCCAGACTACCTTCCTGTGCCTCTCCCTCAGCTACAGGCTGCCATGCTGGCTCCAGTGAGCCATGCCTTCAGGTTTCCCTGAAGTGTGCCCCTTTGTCAAACTGGCTCCCCCTGGGGTGTGGCCAAGTGAGGGTCTAATCCTTTAGCTTTTGTAGGGGGACGTGCTTGTTGTCATTTTCCCAGATGAATGTGAGGGTCTGACAGGCAGTGTTCCTGTCCCTAAGTCACATGTCCACAAATCCTAGTGATTCCTGTCTGAAACTCGTCCCTTCATGGGACGTCCTGGCTGTTCCTTGATGCCAATCTGTGTCTGTTCTGGGCACCCCCAAGTGCACCATCCTCTCAATACCATGACTCTGGGACTGCAGGGCTGGGGTGCCAGGTGCCTTCTGATTTCCATGTCCCATGTTCTTCCCATTGTCCCTGGCTTCCCAGGGGGCAGTTGTTCCAGAAAATGCACCTCTTACACACACACACACACACACACACACACACACGCAGCTGAGAGGACCGTGTCACCCCTCTGTCCCTGTTTGACGCTGAGAACTATGGCTGAATCCTTTCAGCATCTTGAGCTGGCCTCCTGTCTGGGTGGCCGGAACCTGACCTGAGCGAGGCCCTGCAGCTCCGCCCCAGGGCTCCCAGGCCCAAGTCAGCCCCCAGATCTGGGCCGGCACAGCCTGGAGTTTTCCATCCGTGGCCCCAAGACCCAGTTCTTGGGAGGAGGCCCCTGGGCGTCAAGTCAGCCTGTGGCAGGTCCTAGTCCCCAGGGCTCCCAAGCCCCCTTCCACTTGCTCTGACCTCGGGCACTGTTGAAATATACTTTTTATTGCATTTCTGCCGTTTTACAAAAATATGACAAAATAAATTAAAAACAAATAAATAATCGCCTATTCTGTGTGTGTTCTCTATTGGTTTTGGGGTTTCCTTTCGCTTCCCCCATCCTGGTCGAAAGGAAAACGGCAGATAGGGGAACCCGCCCTGACGGGGCGGCCAATACTGGTGGCTGTGGCTGGGGACGGAGGGCAGGGCAAAGCGCGTTTTCGGGCTGGCCGCCCCGATAATGACTGATATTGCAAACGAGAAGAGGAAGGCAGGGCGCGGGGCTAGTGCCAGCCGCTGGGCCAGCACACGGCCTGGGGGCTGGGGCTGGGGCTGGGCGAGGGCGCGGGGGCCCCCGGGGGCTCGGAGGTGAGCGGCAGCGGCGGGGGCGGGAGGCTGTAGAAGCTGGCGTCCCCCGGCAGCGGCTGCAGGGCTGGAGGGGGGCCCGGGAGGGCACAGGGGGGGCACTCAGCGGCGGGCGGGGCCTGGCGGGGCGCGGCGCCCTCGCCCCCGCAGCCCCAAGGCCCGTCCCACTGCCAGCAGCTGGCGGGTGGCGTCGGGGGCCGGGACAGCGGTATTGGTGGCGGCGGCGCGGGGCTCCGGCTGCGGCGGGTGCGGAAGGCAGGGGCGCCCGCGAGGGCCAGCGCTGTCCCTGCGGAGGCGAGAGGGGCCGTTCCGGGGGCATGCCGCCTCCGCCAGACCCCACGGGGTGGGCGACCCTGCCCGCACTCCCTCCCGGCTTCCAGGCACGTGAAAGGCCTTATTGCTTCAGATCAGAGACGGGGTGGGTGACTCCCCTGGGCGACTTTGCATCCCTGGCCTCTCCCAGGCACCGGGGAGGGGAGTCTGAGGAAGTCCCTCTGACTTCTGACCTATGCCCTTGTACTGCAGCTACCACCTCTCAGGCGACCTGGGGATCAGACTACTGGACCCCCCAGACTAGGGTTGGGGCAGGCAAAGTGGTAGGGGTCCTGGGATGTGGCCCGTGCCAAGGCTCTGCACTAAAGTGGGTGCAGCCTGTAACCCAGTGCCCTGGGTGGGCAGCCCCAGCCTCCACCTCCAAAGAAGTCCTTCCTGAACACCTGGGCTGCAGGCTGGGGATTTGCATAGAGGTCTGGGGGGGTCCAGTCCCCCAGAGTGAGCCGGGCATGGGAGCAGGAGAGGGTGGGCCAGGAGGTAAAGGGGCCTCCCTCACCTCTCCTGGCACCAGAGCATGGTGGGGGTACCCTGGGAGGGGTACTAGACAGGGGGCTTTGGCGTCCCTCCCTGGGGGTGTGAGGAGGGTCAGGCACAGGGCTCCAGGCTCTCCAGGGTCCCAGAGACTGAGCAGGCTTGACTTAGAGGCTCCATGTCCCACTGACCCAGGTCCCCTACCAATACCAAAGACGGGGCCTCCTCTGTCCCCTTCAGCCCTTCTCCCTAGGCCTGGCCACCCCACCCCTACCCCCAAAGCCGGGCCCAGCGTCCCCACCCCCGAGTTAAAGCTTGTGACCTGAGCCTTCCTCTTCGGGCCGGGGGGCTTCCAGCTCCTCAGCTGAGGCCTCGTCCGCTGGCCCACTCCTCTGGGCCCGGCCGCTGCCACCGCTGGGGGTCCCGTCCTGTCGGGCCTGCCCGCCCGCCCCGTTGGACCCGGTCTCAGCCCGGGTCCCGCCAAAAGGGAAGAGCTTGCCGGCGTGGAAGGCCTTGGGTGGCGAGTGGCTGCGCTCCGGATCCCTTCGGGTCTCGGGCGACTTGAGGAACTTGAAGCTGAGGAAGGCCGGTAGGCGGGTGTCACTGCCGGTGGGTGACTGGGCAGAGGGCTGCCGAGCGGCAGGGCCAGTCCCTGTGCCGGCCAGCGAGGACGTGGCCCCTGATGACAGGAACTTGCCCTGTAGCGGGATGATCTGCTTCAGCTTCATGACATTGTTGGGTGCCAGCAGGGACCCCGGGCGCTTGGGCCGCTCAGGCCCATGGCTGCCCGCTCCGCCACCCTTGGCTTTGGCAGAGGACTTCTCGGAGGCGGCGGGGTCCAGCCCAGCGCCCTCAGCCCTGGCCTCCTCCCGGCCACTGGTGTCACGCTCCCTGCGGGCATGGTGCTCCGCGTGGCGCTGGCGCTCCTCCTCCTCCCGCCGCCGCCGCTGCTGCTGCTGGTAGCGGTGCTGGGCCTGGCGCTCGTGTCTCTGTGGGCAGAAGCACACAGCTAAGGGCCGGGAAGGCAGGGTTGGCCAGGCCATGCGGACTCTGCGGAAACGGCCAGCTGAATCCCTCGGTGGAGGCTGAGGCTCCCCACTAGAGAGAGATCCAGAAGCTTATTGGGCACCAGCAGGATGCCCGGACCCAAGCTGGGGCTCTCTGAGGAAGCGGGGAAGGGATCCAAATGTTTATTGGGCACCAACTGCATCCCTGGACCCAAGCCGTTGCTTTCTGGGAATTGAGAAGAAAACAAATGTTCACTGGCCACCAACTCTGTCCCTGGCCACAAGCCAGACAGTGTCTTAGGAACTGGACCCTGCTTTCTGGAGAACCAGCAGGACAAGAGAGCCTGGACTGGAACAGTGTGACTTTAAATTAATTACAATTCGTCAAGGGGTGGGGGAGCGGCTCAGTGGCAGTGCGCTTGCCCGGTATGTGTAAGGACCTGGGTTCCATCCCAGCACTGCACGAAAAGAAAAAAATATGTTTTGATTTTTTTTTTAAATATAAAATAAAATGAGTTCCTCATTCCCCTCGGCCCCATTTCAAAGTGCTCTTTAGCCACCTGTTGCTTGGGGCTACTTGGACAGCACAGATTTGGAACATTCCCGCCTTCCAGGAAAGGTCTGCATCTGAAGATGCCATGGAGCTCCTCGGC